TCCACAAAAATGGCTGCTAGATGTTCAGCTTTTACCATAGATATTCAGGAGTTACCATGTAATACATTATATTACATTAAAATTACATAATAATATATATTATACGATTATATATATATATATATATATATATATTAAAACAGAGTCCATTAAAATAAAGTTATTTTAAATTGTAATGATATTTCACATAATAACTGTTTATTGTATTTTTTAACCAATTAAATGCAGCTTTGTTAAACATTAAAGACTTCTTTAAAATATTTAAAAATATATATATTTTTTAAAAATATCTTACAGATGCCAATGGTAGTTTGAATGGTAGTGTCTGATATAAAAACAAAATAAATATCAAATGATATATTAAAAATCAAAGAATTATATATAATTATACAGTTCAGAAGTTTCAGAAGTAGAGTGTGCAATGTTGAGAAATGTATAGACTGTATCAGAGTGTATAAGAGGTGACTAACAAACAGTACCTTCACAAGTTCCATGACTAGATAGAGCTCAGTGGGCGTATCCATCTCCTCAATCAGCATGATGATATTAGGATGCTTAACACGCCTCAACACTGCCACCTCACTCTCGATCAGGTGCTCCTGTGTGTTCAAAGCATGTGTCACAACAAATTCCCAACTATACAGCAACTCTCTGCATTCTTTTGCCTTTAGCTGCCGAGGCAAGAATTCCTTAGGTTTTCTCTTGCAGGAAACCAGGCAAACAGGAAATCAACTTCCTTGGTTAAAACACAGACTGAAATTAGATTATGAGACATTGGCCACCAATATAACTGCTGTTTACATATCATTCATACATGGCCAAAAGAATGTGAACACCCCTTCTAAATAATGGGTCTTGCTGTTCCAGTAATTCCAGTGAAAAGGAATCAAAATTCAGCAGCATACAATGCCATTACAACTTTGTTGCAACAGTTTGGGGAGGAACTTTACCATTCTAACCCCAGTAGATAAAGGGAGATCCATAAATAAATTTTTTACTGAGTTTGGTATAAAAGAGCTTGACTGGTCTGTACAAAATCCCTTAATGCCATTGAACACATTTAAGATAAATTGGGTCATTTGTTGGTCAGCTTTTCTCCCATGACTTGCAAAAACTGCAGCATGCTGGATTAATGGAAATACATAAAATATAATCTAATCAGCCATATTAAATGGACCAAAAAAAAATTTCACGGACCACCAAGACGTAAATAATTTGCATTGCAATAACCCAACCTTTCAGGCAGTGTTCAAAACTCATAAACAGCTATAATTGCATCATTATAAGGACAAAATATATGTATTATCAATAAAAACAATGCAAAACACAGTTTCATGGCTGGTAAGGAATATTTATAGCTGGTATTTTCTCAATTCACTCTCTCCATTGGCTGGTGTCGCAAAAAGTCTGTAAAGTCCAACTCACTTTGCCTCTGCATTTGTTTTTATCGATGATCTTCAGTGCAAACTCCTTTCCAGTGGATCTGTGGAAAGAAAGAAATAGAACAATAGACTTTGTTTCAGGGAGGTTAATGAAGGTCTGTTTTGAGTGCATTCCTCAGGAACCAATTTATAAGCTGGATGTCCTTTTTGTGCACAAGAGATCTTCCTTTGAACATTCTAGCCTAAAACACAAACAGGAAAACCTAATCTAGATGTGAACAGTATTATTTATGTATTTTAATCAGAGATCACGACAATAACCAACTTAGAAGGGAGAACAAACAAAATACAACACAATTCTATTGACCCCGAAGAGCTATTTTATCTTTTTCTGACACAACATAACAGAAAAACAAAACATTTTAAATTATTTTGTAACTTGTAATTTTCTTACCGTTCGACACACTCCTTTACCACAGCAAAGTTCCCGTCACCTATAACTTTGCCAATTTTGTACTTGTCCAAAATAGTGGAAGCAGCAAGGTTCCTGTTTCCATTAACTAAAGGGAACAAACCAATACATGAAACATATCAGACTAAAAAGAACATAATTTTCTTACCATATGATCAAAAATGTTTTCATGTGAAAAGTCATGAGTGTAGGGATGTTTTGTAAAACCACCAACATCCTCATCCAGCAATTCAAATTTGGTCAGAGCACTAGGCAGACAAATAGCCGAAGGTCATTCTGACTCATACAGGGACGTTTGCTCATACACAGCCACCACAGTGTGTGAAAGTGTGGGAGAGTGTGTGGTGGAGTGCCTGAGCAAATGTGGCACAGAGTGGCATGTGTCAGCACTTTCACCACCAAACCTTGTCAGGCCCCTGAAATGCCCTTTCGGGGACTTCTGGGCTTGAAACACACTAAGATCCAAAGTGAGTGAGGACATGACAGTGATTCATAGCGGGTGGACGTTTACCTTCAGGGCTCACACTGTTGTTATGTTGTTGGGGAGTCTCAGAGGAGCCGTTCACATTGATTGCAGAGGAGTGATGTGCTGGAATCTGCAAACAGAGACAAAATAAGTCACAAAGAACTAAAACATTTAAAACTCCTTAAAAGCACCATAGATGTTTTACTTACATACAATAGTGATAGGGCTGGGCAATATAACTAAAAAAGTATGAGTGATTTTTGTTTTCCAAACATCAAATGTAGCCGAGCATATTAAAAATGTATTTTTAAGTAAGTAAAAGTATTCAAGGCAGGGCCTTAACCATCATAGAATTGATCAATAGGTCAAGGCATGTTTTCAACAATGTTTTTCACAATGAAACAGTGCAGAATGAACATAAGGCACAGATATTACAATGGCGGTGTCATCACAGGAATAAAAAACATCTTAAAATATATTAAAATCAAAACCAGTTATTTTAAATTGCAATCATCTTTCACAATATTTCTATGTATTTCTGAACAAATAAATGCAGTCTTGGTGAACATAAGAGACTTCTTTCAGAAACTTAAAAAAAAAAATCTTACTGACCCCGAACTTCTGAATGATAGAGATTTACTGAACATAAGACTCCAGTGAACATTTCCTAAGCGATAATGCTAAGTATTATTCGAATCAGATTTTGATGAAATCATTTAGATTAATTTCTGATTCATAAAAAATCATAAAATGAGCTTTGCCTGAAACTGGTGAAGCTGTAAGTATATTGAATGAGCTTTAACTATGAATAGTCATTATTGGTAAAAATGCACATTTACCACCTTCCTGATTCACAAATCCATATTCCTGGTAATATAAAATAAGTATACATTATTACCTTACTTTATTAATTTCATTAAATCAAAACTAACGAAATATATCAGTTCATAGATATTAAAACGTGTCTTAGCAGTCAACAAGGTATACATTACATGCACGGATCTCAAAAGCCCAAATAAAAGTTAATTAAACGCATTGTGATATTTATCACCAAATCACCATGATGATCAAACCTCAGGAATTCATGCAGATTTATTCCTCAGGCAGCTAAAGGCAAAAGAATCCACAAATAATGAATGTTCGCTATATTGCCCAGCCGTAGTAAAAAGAAAAGCTGTGAACTGGATATACTGTAGCAGCTATGCGATTATACTAAACCTTCAAATAAAGCATAGTATTTTTTATCAATAGCATACTGCCATCTGACACTGAGCATCATCCTTAGTGAAATAAATGGTTGATGAGAAGACAGAGAACTGTCTGGAAGACAAACTGCGTGTGACTGTGATTGAAAAAAAAAAGGACTTACATTGTTTTAAATGGTCTGGCAATCAGTATGATTAAAAAGCCTGCATGTTATCTTGATTCAGCAGCCAAATAAGAATTAAACCGAAGTGACAGTGTCATGTGAGAGAACACTAAGTAAGCCAATGGAGACAAATACTGGCAGCACCCTGGTTAAAGCTGGTGTAATAGAGGCCACAGGATTCCTCTAGGTACACAAGTAACAGTTGGGTATTACAAGCTGTTTTGAAAGATTCAAATACTCCAGTGGATTGGAAGTTGAAATATACAGCCATATACTATGCTGTTAAAGTGACTGATACAATCATTTGTGTAAGATCCCAACTAAAAACGTGAATACCCAGAAGGAACTGCAGCTAATTTGAATGCTGCTACAGAAGGCAGACTTTCATAATACCTGTACAGAGAGACGGAGGGGGACTCCCATTCGCTTGTTGCAACTAAACTAAAGGCAAGTGGGAAGATATTTATGTAACCACAATGTTGGCGCGTTTGGTCTAAAATTAGCTTGAAATCTCAGGAACAATGTGCAAAAAACCTGCCTCACCGGCAACTTACCATCAAACCACTTATTCAGCCATATCTCCAGTATAAGAGCACAATAATGATAGAATACTATGAATAATTTGTTAAAGGCTGTTTCATAATAGAAATTCACTGTTTCTATTAAATATGCTATGAAATGCTATTTTCAGAAACTAGAAAATAGCATATTTCTAAGTTTTTGCAGACATTGGTCTTATACAGCTTTGTAGACTTAATATAATGTAATATAATTTTTACTTAAACAACATTTAACTTTGTTTCAGATTTTTTATCTCAGAGTCAGACATCATATTAGAGTTCCTTAAGAAAAATAAAATAAATAAATAAACGAGGCAATTTATGACATATAAGAGATTAAATTAATATGCATGACACTGGCCAAATAATTTATTATTTATTAATTTCAACTCCAAATGTCTGAATTGCAGACTTACTATCTTGACAAATCTAAGCATAATATATGACATGTCGAGCTCTCTTCTGAAAAGCTAAGTCATCCTTGTGAGATCCCTAAGGAAGTGGATCTCTCTCTCTCTCTCTCTCTCTCTCTCTCTCTCTCTCAAAAAAAACAACAACATCTGAGATTTCATTTGTGATTTTTCTATAAGTTGACTTTGTGTGTGCTAAACAACTCTCTATTCACTATTAAATCTACCACTAAATCCTGTAAAAATGAATGAAAGTGTCTCTTTGTCATGCAATTTATCCTTGTGCTTTCAAGAAGCTTTAAAGATAGCACCCGTACAAAAAAGAAGCTTACTGTCTGATAAACAGGTCAGTTAAGCAGATTAACACCAGGAGTTCTCGAGGCTATGATCATACTTGACTTTGACTTTTGGTTTAATTACAGATCTGTAGTCAGATCTCATGCCTAGACTCACAGTGCTTCCAAGAATAGGAGTGATTAGGCCTATCAGAGTGGATTTTCTGTTACAAGTGCTGTTGAAGACTTCTATGTCCTTACAAGATAATGTTGAAACAATACTGATGCTAAATGACCACTATAACTACTGAACACTCTCAAATGTTTTATGCACCTGGTATGGTGTGATAATTAGAAACTCTAATAAGGAAAATCAGGGGCAAGTAACATTTTATATATATATATATTGTTTAGCAAACCTACCTGCCTGTAAGAAACGTACTTTATATTTGTTACAATAGTAACAATACCATTAAAATATTTATGCTGTGAGTGATTTGAACAAACTATTGAATTTTTACACAATAAGTGACAAAGGCAACTGTAACAGAATAAAAGTAAATTAACCCACTGTCCCTAAAAGAAATATCATTGCTGTTAATATCACTGCCGAGTTTTATATAATGTATTAAAAGTGGACATAGATTCTTATATAACAAAACATAAAGTATTATACTTTTTATTATAATATATACTTTTTTTATATATACTGGTAAGCTTATAAGTCCAAGAACATATTTTGGTTAAACAATTTAATGAAACAATGTTCACTTCATATTTTAAATATTCAATATTTCAATTTTTATGTCAGAAATTGCCCCAACCGAACAGCCTTCATAAAATCTTGTATATTAGCTACCAGAGATATCACTGACATGTCATTCATGTTACCATTTAACAAACAACAAAGAAATAACAAGGTAAACGCTTGTATATATCATCAAAAGTATGAAAACTTTAGACAGCAGAAAAAAATACATAACTTCTAATTCAAAATCATTTTTCCTGAACCGTATTTTTTTCTTAAGGATAGGAAATAGTTAAGTTGTAAAGTGTCATCACTCTAACCTGAAGAAATGTTTGGGCATTACAACTGCTGCTTCAATTTGTTGTGAGGCAATAATTTCGGCAGCCTCACTAAACCTTTAATCATGATTGAGAGTGTTAAGATGCTGTCATCCATGAGTCAGCATCCAGAAGCCTGATCTTATTTTTGACTTGATGAAGAAATAATCTATTCTAAAACTCGCCATGTTTTGCTAGTAAACTGATTAGCAGCACAGTGGAAGCCTGTTGCCATGCCAACGGGTTTACCTTGAAATTGCGCATGCTGCGGGGGCTGGTCGGGGAGGAACTGGAGGATTTTGCAGATTTGGGGGTAGTGATTTGGCTGTTCGGCACTCCATTTACTGAGGATTGTGACAGAGAGGGAGGAAGAGGGAGGGAGACAGAGAACAGAGAAAAACACAACGTTACTTCTTACACTGCTTATTTTATGCTACACATGCATTGTCTTGGACATCATCAGTAATAGTGCTGAATACATTTCAGTCAGTTTGAAAAGGATATTATCTACTTAATGTCAGCTGGTCATGTGATTTCAACATGGCGGCTACCATGAGTAGGTAGTACCTGTACTACACTTAAAAATCAAGTATCATTTACATCTTTTTTCATTTACATCATCAAATTTCATTACTTCATTTTCATCAAACCTGTATGACTTACTTTCTTCCGCAGACAACAAAAAGACAAACAAAAGGCTTGTTTCCAAACGATGAGTCTATATGACTTGCCAATCTACTAAAATCATATAATTCTTCCCATTCATGGTAGCTGTCAAATTTTATTTGTGCAATTTTAATGTGTGATTTTATACAGTCATAAGCAGTGTTGAGGGTAATGCATTACAAGTAATGCAAGTTACGTAATCAGATTACTTTTTTCAAGTAACTAGTAAAGTAACGCATTACTTTTAAATTTACAACAAAATATCTGAGTTACTTTTTCAAATAAGTATGGCAAGTTACTTTGTTTTCCCATCTATTCCTGTCCCCGTGTTGAGAGAAATTGGGAGTGAGGTGCAGAGGCAGAGCACAGTTGCCAAAAATATAACTTTTGGGGGTTTTGTTATTAAAAAACAAATAAGCAAGCCTTCCCCAGAAGACAAAAAGTAATGCAAACGTAACATAATGCATTATTTTCCATAAAAAGTAAATAAGTAACACAATTAGTAACTTTTTTATTGAGTATACTGTAATGCATTACTTTCAAAAGTAACTTTACCCAACACTGAACATCAGTGAATTTAGATTAGGTTTGAGAGCTATGTGGAGGGAAATAACAACTTTCTGATTTTCCTCACACACATAATGTACATAACTGGAGTCTTTGTCTTACGTTAATGTACTTATGCTCAACCAAGGGCGCCGGAGTCCACTAGGGGGCCTCAAGATGACTTAAATTATTTAAAATAAGTCAAAACAAGCTTTAATAAAGGTTTGCATGTCTCAGAAAGCTATTGATATGCCCTTAATCACAAACAACTGAACAAGTAATTTAAATTCATGGGTTAAAAAGAATGGGAATCTTGAAGAACATTCAGCTCTTAAAACTTATGGAATCCTGAAATCTAATTATTTAATTTTAGTTGCTTATTTTAATATATGGACTCCCATAGTTTGTGTAACCTTGTCTTTACAGCTGAGAAACCTACAGTCAAGGTTGAGAGCCATTGTGTTGTGTACATGTACATTGTTTAAAACAAAAATACTTTACTGCTTGCCCAATGGCAGGAAAATGACCTTAAAATTGTCAAAAGAAGAAATTCCATCTAAACAGAACTACCACTCAGAATATGTGTATGGCTACATATGCGCGTGCAGCATAAGTCTCCTTGGCCTAGTCTTTTAACATACAGACACCACAAGGCTTCACGTGCACCACTCACCTAAAGCCAAATCCTCAAGGCTAAATCATAGAATTAGAGAAGGAATGGCTAAGATCTTTCTAAAAAGGTCACTTTAAAACAGTGTTATCAAGCATAAAACACTGTTTTTAATAGATCATGTCACCCAGATACATACAGTAGTAGTAGAAGAATTTAGCACAAAAAAACAATGCGCGTTATTGGAGCGCATCCCAAGTGCGTCAGAATCCACAGGGAGCAGGGATTTGTAGAAAAGCTGCTCTTGGCATTTCCTGCTGAGTTTGTCGATAGAGGCATGAGCAGATTTCTCTCCAGGCATGCAAGAGAGACTTTACAGTTCACGGGCACAGGAATTTAGGGTGTGTGTGTACTGCATTATCCAGTCTAAGCAGAAAGCAGATGAGGATGCCTGCATTTAGTGTACACATCCAATTGGTATGTCTGATAGATTAGAGTATGTGCATGCCAGGGTTCGGGGCAGTGGCCAGTGAGGGAGTTTTAAATAGCACTCTAGACTAGCTGATGGATTTGGAAAGGCCATGAAGGAGTGCTATTAGCATGATTGAAGGGTTAGGTGTCATGTACAGCTCATTCCACAGATGAATGTCCTTTAGGTAAATTCAACATCATATGGGGAAGATCCTCTCAAGACCCTCAAGAATTTCATAGGGCTGTCAGATTCTCTAGTTGTCAGCTCCTGTCCTATGTTAGTCTTGGTTATGGTAAAGGCATCAAGAACTAGCACATAAGTATCCGTTGTTCATAATGTAATGGATATGGTTGTGATTAAAAAGAATATGAACACATGACAGCCTACTTTTTACATATCAATGCCTATTCTGTATTTAGCTTGGCAGGAGCGCTGTTAAGCTGTGGTCATATGTGACCCTGGACCACAAAACCAGTCTTAAGTGTCAATTTTTCAAAATTGAGATTTATACATCATCTAAAAGCTGAATATATAAGCTTTCCATTGATGTATGGTTTGTTAGGATAGGACAATATTTGGTCGAGATACAACTATTTGAATATCTGGAATCTGAGGGTGCAAAAAAATCAAAATACTGAGAAAATCGCCTTTAAAGTTGTCCAAATTAAGTCCTTAGCAATGCATATTACCAATCAAAAATTCAGTTTTGATATATTTACAGAAGGAAATTTACAAAATATCTTAATGGAACATGATCTTTACTTAATATCCTAATGATTTTTGGCATAAAAGAAAAATCTATAATTTTGACCCATACAATGTATTTTTGGCTATTGCTACAAATATACCCAAGCGACTTAAGACTGGTTTTGTGGTCCAGGGTCACATATTAGCAACATTTTGTGGACAAAAAAAGTCCATTGACTATTATCAATAGACTAGCGATGTATGAAGCACAGCTTACGCAGAAGTAACTTCCAAAGCAAGCAAATTACTGTTGGTCAACTCAGTGAATCCACTTGAAGCAGCTGTGAAATCTGCATGAATATATCGCAAGAACTCTTACTGAAATGACTGGATTTTGTCCACAAAAATTTGCTGAACCATGATAAACGTGACCACACCTTTACTCAGTTCACATGTGAAGAGGTTAGCCAATCATAACAGAAGTCATTTACCTTTAGAAGTCTTAAAGGTACAGTAGAAAAACATTTTGTTTAATTCTAAGAGTCAAAGAGAGAGTAGAAATGGACATGTAAAACTAAATTATGACCTTTTTTTTGGTGAAATAAACCTTGACAAATACTTACTTGGTGATTTGACTGGAGACTGACTATTTGCAGAGAAGTGTCCTGCTGTTCTTCTCACTAGAGTGGAGAGAAAAGCTATTTAACCAGGAACAGCACATTTCAGGAAGGAGTGGGAGAAGGAAAATGACAGGAAGATATGTGAATCGCAGTTCTGCCCTACAAAGGCAAAAGACCTTAACTCGCTAGAGTGTGAAACTGAGAACAATGACTTTAAGGTTATTTACTTGTCCAGCCAAATTAATTATAGGTAGGACACTGGAAATGTAACAATTAGATGTTTTAGTAATGAAAATGATCTACATTAAAAAATTGTGAGCTCAAACTTGATTTTTACCCCTATTTTGAAGTTAATGTACTCTGCCTTTGCACTGTCTGCAAACGTGAGAAGTCACACCAAGGCA